TTCACTTATTTATATGGTTAGTACATTTCTGCAGTGCAAGAGCAATAATGCAAGTTAACTACTATGTAGTCTTCCCTTAGCTCTCTACTGTGCAGGTATTTTTATTTTTAAGGGAAACATTCCAGGACATTTCAACTTTTTTTTTTTTTTTTATGCTGTTTCGGTACATTATACCCTCTTTTTATATTGTCTGTCACATTTTTATCTTTAATGGCATAATTTCCCTGAAGGAGTAATCCCAAGGGGTAAATAAAGTTGAGTATACGTCTAAGTCGTTGACCTTGGACTGAACTTCTCAAACTAAGGGAAATATTTAGAAAACTCTTCATAAGCACGTTTCTAATGATAGACTAGGAAAATTATTTTTTTCTGGTTTGCCTCCCTGTGAACCAGAAGGCATATTAATTTGGTTTAAAGGTTGGTACTAGGAATTACAAAAGTAAGGATGCCACTATCTGCTGCAGTCTACAATCATCTGATTCATTTTACTTACTGTTTTCTTTTTTTAGTGTTTTAGCTATTCTAAAAAGCTAAATGACATTTAATGAACAATTTACCTGGAGACACAGTGCTGAGACATGTCTGGCTGATTAACATTCTGGAAACTAATTTGGGACTTTTAGTGGATTTTAAGAACATCTAATGATCACTGTAATAAACTAGAAGCTTAAATTAATCATTGATTTTTTTTTAGAAGTAGTGATCAAGATATATTGGTGTGTCATAGTAAAACAAAATTGCTCAAATAAAAGTGAGAGAGTTGATCTTTATAGAACCTTTGAAAAGGCATCTATCAGTTATAACTTGTCTGACCTATAAATCCTGACTTTTCTTTTCTATAAATGTTAGTTCAGGTGCAGAAAACTGTATCCATTCCCAGCAATTGAAGAATCACGGAGCAATAGTACAGTAAATTGGTGTCAATAATTATAACAAGAAGAATGAAAACGGCAGCAAGCATTTCAACAAGCAGCAAACAGGATGAACCTGCTCGATCAGAGTTCATGTGAAATTATTAGCAGAAGCCTCCTTTTCTTTGAATAAATGAACACAACATTAGGTGATTTACCATCAACATAAAAAAAACATTTATATTTTGGTTCAGTACTTTTTATGTAAAAAAAAACAACAATTTTCAACTTTTAATTATTACCCATTCAGAATGGGTCAGTTCCAGAAGACCTTAATTAAGATTATACCAGTCAGTACTTTTTCCAGTCATCTGCTCACCGTCACAAATAGGGAAACTCTTGATCTGCACTTGTTTTTCTTTCCAATACAATTAGCAACAGCGTAGGCCTGTCAAAATACCAAATGTTTTCTCACAAACGTTCTATGAACAGTAAATAAGACATTGCCTGAGGTAATTACTGACAGTTCAAAGTGCATTGACGCACTAAGGTTACTAGTGGAAACTATGTGGTGTTTTATAACTAAAGACAAACAAACAAGCGTGTAAGTGCCAGAGATAAAGTTGAATATAAAAAAGACCTCCGCATTTTGCTAAACTAAAGAGAAAACACATCCCACATCTGCTGTTAGTGTAGATGTAGCTAAAAGCTGCTCTGTTTTACAAGGTATGGTTTTATGGATTAGACCAATCAACAATGCTTTTCCTACATGTTTGAGTTTCATAGACAGCAAATATTTTCTATGTAGCTCACTTCTACTTATTTGAAAGCATTGATCTCATTTTTGAAGCAAAAAGTCTCATGTGTCTTTCAGGTTTCTGTGAGATCTCTCTTCTGCTTTTATTCTTGACATTTTAATGCAATTAAAAATGGAACTTCTGAATGCACAACTATGAGGCTTTTTTTCAAATAAATACATTTTAAGCTGCTATGGATTAATGAAGACTAATCCTATACAAAAAATCTCCTCAAATGGCTGTAGTGATTGATTACTGTTTTTCTCAACATTTCTGACAAAAAAAAGTGTCTTGTACAGAAATTAACTTGACCTTTACTAGTACTGCCTTTTTTCATATTGTATATATTTTAGTAGTTTAAACAATCTAAGGTTCACATTTTACTTCATTAGGAATCAAGTCTTTCTTTTTTGGTTTTGTTGTCGTTGAAGTATTTTCCTCCTCCTCAGCTCTGTAATGAATCAGATCGCTCAATCAATCAATAATTCTATAAATAAATCTTCATTTGAACTAGAGGCCAATATCTTTTTGTCATGTTTGCAGGTATGAATAAGACAAGCATAAGACCTTTACTTTAGTTATAATGAAGAAGATGACACCTGGAAATAGTGGTGCAGCACACTATCGCTGTATCATGCAAGTAAGATTTCAGAAACACAGACACTCTGAAGGTATCAGGGACTCTAAGCAGATCCCTGTGACCTCTGATGTGCACCGGCTCCTCCTTATCCATGGCCTCCTGGTGTAAATTCACACATAAATACACACCCAGTCCATCCAACTTAGTCTCTTCTCCAGATTGCCCTCCCTGCAGTTTTTCTCTGCAGTCTCTGAGTAATGGGGACAGATGGCTAGCAGCTTCTTGCTGTTACTTTGGGCTCAACAACCCCTCCATCCCATTCCCACCCCTCCCACCTGCTATTTCCAGCAACCCCTGGTCTCCTACAACTGATAGCTTGGTTGTAGAAACTCCCATGGAATAGCAATGTGGGCGCTATCTCATTCTCTGCTCGCTAAGGGGTTATGAGGGGGTACGGGAGGGGAGGGAGGCAGGGTGAGATGATGGGGGCGGCTAGAGAGGGAGGATTACTGCTGACAGAGAAGAAATGCTGTAGGCTTTCAAGTGAGGACAACCGCGCAGAGTTTGTGATGGGAAGTTGTGTCTGTGTGTGTTTGTTGCAGGTGTGCATTCAAGCGTGCTTTCCTTTTTAGCTGTACACTTCTGTGTTTCTGTGGGTGTGTATGATCTCCACTGTGGTTGTCCCTGCCCGAGGTACTGTACGCTACTGCGCAGCATAACAAACAATAACTGTGCAAAGAAGGGCAAACATGGGTAGAAACACAGGAGAAGAGTGGGAACCGACCTCTGAGAGAGCCTACAGCTGACTGTACATACACCATTACAGTTGTTGGTGAATATATTAGCCCTGCACTATAATGACAGTATGTTCAGTAGTTGTTCCCCCTGACCTACTTATTATTGCTTTCTTGCTGTTGCTTCTATATACAGTACATGACAGTCTTAAAGCAAAACATTAAAGTACAACACAAAAGTGAGGACTAAAAAATCTCTGAAAAATCAATAAAATTCCTAAAAGAAATGACATAAGAAAAAAATACAGAACTCCACAATAAAGCAAGGTTTTAAAATCAATAAAACAGCCAGCTTGCTTAACAAGTAGGGACATTTTTTATAGGTTATTTAGAGGATAACTCAGTGTGCAGCAACACACTAAAAAATACATAAAGATACTTGGAGGTGTAGAAATAATCTGGTCCATTAATTGTGTTGCATAATCTTCCCTTAATCCATTAAATTAGACTTTTTTGCCCAAATTTATGACTCATGCACGGCAAGTTTCAACACAGCCAACCATCTTTATTTTAGTTTTGTCCTTTTTAAACTGAAAAAGATTAAATGCACTGTAGCTATAGACCCTGAAATACCACAAATAGTAAGTTGTTAGAACTGCAGTGGCAAATTAGATTGAAATTAGTAGATCTCCTAGCGAAAGGATAGTGCAGTGAGACGAGAAGATTAGCAAACTGCTTTTACCCTCCTTACAGCTCTTTTATACTGTTTTCTGTCTTAAAATATGCCTAAATAATTTCAGATCACAGAAAAAGGCTGTATTATTTTCAGTGTACAAAAGAATGAGTAATTTCATACTAAATAAGTATCATATGTACAACTACAAAAACTGATATGATATGACTTCAGGACTGGGACGGATGGATCATATGAGAGGAGAAAAATGTTGATGTAAGAGAAGAACTCTGCTGAAATCTAGACGTGAGAGACTGAGCAGGAAGCCCATTTACCAAAGCTTACATGGAGATAATTCAGAGACTAAAAAAATTAGGCTGTATGTCATTAATAATGGTTATGGTAAACATAGAAAGTAATGATTATGGCAAATAAATTTAGGCTACCAAGCAGTTGCAAGCAAAAGGATCAAGTGTCAAAATGGGGTATTAATATAAAAAGACTCAACAACTGATTCAGTTGGATAAAGTAATAGTGCTTATTTTATGTTAAAAAGTAAATGCATGTTATACTGTAACACTACTAGAATAATACATACTAAGATGTGATATTATTTTACCAGTATTAGCCATAGTTGTTACATTTAGGTACATGAAAAACAATTAGATCATGCTTTTACACATATAGTAGTACACATAATATACTGATTTTACTCAAGGTGTTGAGAATCAAACTCGTGTTAAGGTATTGTGTATTTTTCATTTAACAATTGCTTAAATGTGATGCAGTAAACTTGGTGCTCCCAAATAGATTAGATAATAGACCAATTCAACTCAGCACTCTGAAAAGGCCATGAAAAGACTGTTCTATCTGACTTAGAATCAGCAGGTTGTAAACTCTGATGGAATAACTACTACACTCATTATATCAAATACTCATATTTCAAACACAAACAGAAGCAAAAATGGTGTTATTTAGGGCCAAAGTTAACCATGTGGCCAAAGAGGGGCAGGATGAAAGGATGGGTCAAGACAAATTCTGTTAATTTAACTGGTGCACTAGAAAGAATAACGCATAATGTTTACTGTATTTGGTTAAGACAAAAAACTAGGAGAAATTCAAAATGGTTTAGGCAAGAAAATTAATGAACAACTAGATCTAAGAATGATGACACAGGGACAAAAATGTAGAAATGGATGCAATGTCAATGCTGATAAGCATTCACATTGTGTGTAAATAAAGCATGGATAGACTATAGCATGCAGCACAGAGACAGAGATGAACAAATATACTGGAAGATAAAGCCGAGGTGTTAACATAAGATATCTGGATATAACAACAAGAAAAGAAGAATAAGTAGCTTACATTTCTGGTCCTTCCATGTGACAGTGGGCTCAGGCCGGCCGACTGCCAGACAGTAGAGGTTAACATTCTCTCCCTCATTCACCGACACACTTTTGGAGATGTTTACAATTCTTGCTGGCACTGAACAGGAAAAACAAGATTCCACCATTAAACCCCGACCTTAAAATCACCTTTCACTTCCATAAATTATTGATACGGTTTGGCCTCACAGTTTATTAAGGTGTTAAGGTCTTTGAGTTTCAGACAGACAGGATATCGGCTGATTAATGATCTGAGCTTAGGTGCTTACTGAACCGTGCAACAATATGGCTAACCATCTCCTTAAAATGCAATAGATCTTAAGCCAATGCAATTGAATATTAAAATGCTCTCCTACTAACGCTTGATCTAATTTGATCTTTTGCTGCAAAGAACATCCATTAAATTCCTCACTTGTTGGAGTGTTTTCCTTGTATTTATTTAACATAATGACCCTAAACACAAAGCACTGGTGCACTACATATGTTCGAAGTCTGATAACATGATGGACCTTGAATTTAAATGACCCTGTATCGTTATTTTTAATGAGCCTTACTCAGAGATTTGTTACATCAACTCAGGAAGGTTTGCAGTGATAAAGCACAGATTGCAGCGCTGCTACTGCTCAAGGGTATAATTATTTTGTGTACTATCAAGCTCTTACTTCAATTGCAAGCAACTTGGAACCAAACATATGCAGTCATCTTTGCCAACATTTAGATCTTGCAGCCATAGCTGTTGTAATAATATCTGTGGCTCATACTTGTAACTAACCTCTCTTGTCTCTGTTACTTCAACTATTTTAGCTATAAAAAAAATCTGAAATTTTATTAAGCTGGTAATCTATAACTAACTATAAACCATAAATAATGTGCTGATGCAGGGCGTGGGAACATCCTGGCAGTTTTACATAAATAGTTGGTGTCACTCAAGATCAGTCATTTTCACTCACTGAGCTGCTGTCTTGATGACTGAGCCCCAGTCACCATCCTACAATGACAGTCACTGTATTTAGTCAGACAGTTGGACATCCCCCTGTGCATTTACTCTACTCAAGACAAATGCTCATTCATCTGATGCATGCCCAAAATCCAGTTTAGTTGTTAGGGAAACTTGACAAGCGTAAAAAACTCCCAAAAGGTCAAAGTTCTTCTGCAACGGATCTTCCTGTTTTTTGTCATTTGCAGTAATCTTTCTTCTTAACAATATAACTAGATAACATTGTCTTAATATTCATAACATAAAAAACATAACATTGCAATAAATATTGATTTTGAGTTGTGATGATGATACATTCATGTACAATGGGGATTTATACAATTGTTTTCAATCTCTTTTAGGACACATTCACCCCATTTACTCCCTATTTTCTTTTTATACAAAATAAAATACATGAAAAATATCTGGTTTTACATGTTTGATATGCAAAATTTTGAATACAGTCATAAATAATTGCATGAATCCTATCTTTTTTTTGCTAAGGTTCCCTTACTGAGTTCCAGCTCAACTAACAAATTTTAAAATTATTAACAAACATCAGATACAATTCTGGCTGGAAAGCTGATTTATGTTCTTTTCAGAATACTTATTTTTGTTTTGTTTTTCTGAAAAATGTTATTGTCATACCTTCACTGTTGTCTTTTAATCCATGGGCCCATGGTGACTAAGATATAAAATATGAGGTCAAGCTTGGGATATTAAGCTTGGTGTTCTTTTTAAACTGGTAGAAGGAGTTGGAAAAAGTAACACTGGAAACCACATTCTTTCCACCTTACTTCAATTTACTCCTACATCTAAATGTCTTATACTGTGATATACAGTAACTGTATGCTCTAAAACTATAAAAATCCCAAACAGATTGTAGAATGGAGAAAACAGGCAAACAATTAGCCTCTGGAATGACCCAGACCTAACCTCTATTAAAATGTGCAGAAAACTAAAAAAAAATAACAGAAAAATAACAAAACGCAGTTTATATAAACTTAATGACTGCTGATAAGAAAACTGGTCAAACACCAAAGCAGGGTTCTGCCAAGCCCTAACTGTACCCTCTGTCATCTCCCAATAACTTGCTGAGGGACATTATATCAAATACTAATAAAGAAGAATCTGCATATTTGAGTTTGTATTTACAATTTGAACTGTGATAAAAAAAATGAAACATATTCCTTCCATCCCCAAAAAAAGATATTTCAAATGCTGTATATATGTATATATAAATTGCTGGCTCTGGATATACAACTCTATTAATCCTTTTACTGCATTTAAATCTTACATACAGAAAAAAGTTGTTTCATCTCAGCTACTGACCTTGGACTATGAGGTAGACATGGGCGATGCGAGGTTTGTTATTGGCCTGAAAGGTGCAGGTGTACGGTCCCTCATCTGTTACTTGCACTTTGTCGATTAGAATGGAGAATTCTCTGTTGCTGGTGTTAACAAGCGTCACTCGCTTGTCCAGGGACCACCTATCCGTCCCTGTGAAAAGGATGTTTGAGCGATTCAGCCAAGCTTTGTGGGTCACCTCCTCATCAATCCGACATCTGTGGGGGAACACACAGTGGTTAAAAAGTGGGAGGGCTTAAACATAACTGTTAGCGTTCATCTTAAAAATCCTGTGGACATGTATAACATTAGTATACATTTTTCTTTTTTAACATAAAACAAATAGTGCCACTTTCTGAGTGATGCATTAGCTTGATTTAATGTAATGTTATGTGATAAAAGAGAGAAAGAAAACATAATGCATTAGATTTGGCATCCTCAGGACATTTGAGCTGAGGCAGATTTTGGTGTAAACCTAGGGTTATTACCCATGTAATTTAGCATAGCAGCTTCTTTCAATTTTGTCCCCACTACTCGAAGATTCAGCCCATTACGCTGCTATTTCATGAGCATATTGACCCTTTGACTGACATCTAGAATCCCTCCCCTATTGCTTTTACCAGTGCATTTTAGCACTATCACTGGTTATGCTGAAAACTGTTAAAATAACACTGAAATAAGGCTGATACACTGAAATAATATAAATAGGTGAAGTGGAAACTACCATTTTATATGTTTACCATTTTTCTGCACTTTTATGTGAGAAACGCACAAAAGTGTGAACCCTCCACCCTTCATACTCTTTTGTCGACTCACCCTAAGGCAGGTTAAAGGCCTTCAGAAGGATTCCCCACCCCAGTGCACTATGCTCATGAAAAATCATGTTTAGAAATGGCTTTTACTATAATGCTCCACTTGTTTTAAATAAAAGAGAAAAAAGAACATAGACTGGGAGAGAAGGAGATTAGAATAGACAGGAGACAGAAGATAGAGACAACACAAGATCTTAGGAGTCTCCGTCTAGAACTAGAGAGAAACAACAACAGAACGAACACAAGAAAAAATAGGATCAGAGATACAAACAACCATTGCATATATAACATCAATAAAATAAACACCCATACCCCAAAAACCTCAGAGTGTAGACATGCCAGGTTAATCCACATACAGGTATAGGGTTGAAATACACAATGTGTTTAGAGCAATCAGGAAAGGCTCAGAAACCCACAATCAATTAAGCATTTTCAATAAACTGTGTGTTCTACCTGTTGTATGAGCTCAAAAGTACAGACAAATAAGTGAAACACCAATCTTTTTTGAGCCTGTTAGAGCAGCAACCACACATAAACATCCCTGCTGGTTTATACTGGGGGAATATCTGGGGTAAAGTCTTTCTGGGGTCTGAGCATTAGACTATCTCATCAGTAGAGTTAGATGAAAGTGATGTTTAAATGGGTAAAGGGACATACAATTAACATTTTGAGTTGTGAACAGTTTGAAAAATGTTGTTTTATTTTCTTCCACTTCACAATATTATGCTTGTGTCCGTGTGATATAAAAACCCCAATAGAAATACTGTATATCAAAATATGTGGTTGTGACATCAGAAACTGTCACATGATTTAAGAGAGGTATTAATACTTTTGTTAGGAGAAGTATGACACAGATTGTGTTTAACTTTCTTTTGGACATCTCTGTGCAGCATTCTTTAACATTTCAGAATAATCAGACCTCTATTCTTCTAAAAAATATTCCATTTGTGGCTGTTTCACTAAGAGTGAGTGAGCTCTCTCTATTCATTTAAGAAAAAAACGCTGTGACTGCAAAGGCAAGAGCACATCATTTATCTCATTATCATTCCCATCAAACCATTCAATGACCCCATCTACTGAGTCAGCATTGCTTTATCTAGCTACAAATTTTGCACCACTTCCTTTTCCTTAATTTGTTTTTAAACCCTTTTGCAATACGTTTAAAATTTGCATGCATAATCCCTGAACAAAAAGGGGAGAAATGATAAACAATTTAGCTGAGATGAGTCATATGTCCAAAAACAAACTATAAGCCACAGATTGCATGAGAAAGGGGTTTCTACCTTTATTCACAGCTTAGTAATTCGTGGTGTTTGAGGGCAAACTTTGTAAACCTATTTGTCTGCAAATCAAGACATTTTTTCCACACTGAATTAAAGCTAAGAGCAACAAATTGAAAAATCTGTCAAACAATGAGAAGAAAAATAGCTGTGTTAGCTGGGGCGCTGTAATTTACTTTTGTTTTGTTGTGCAAAACCTGACACAAATGCCAAAACTCTGACATCTAGTGCTTAGCTTGGCCACTAGATGTCCTTAAACAGCTTCAACTATTAAGAAAAAAAAACCTTTTGAAGACCTCATGTTTAATTAATATGACCTGGATAAATATCTCTGAGGTAGATCACTTCTTAACTTACGGGCAGTGATACAATGCATAACACCCACAGTATAAGTGAGTTTGAAAATCTTTAACAAATACCCTGAAACACACTGATCTGCTGTTAAGGTTGAGACCTAAAAGTAGAGTGTTCCTTATCATGCTGATAAGGATTAGTAGCCTGTTTGTAGCTCGGAGGTTTAAATAGAGAGACAATCTAGTGATAAATCCCTCCATAGAAATTCATTATCTATGTACACACATCATCTAATAATCTATTTTTAAAATTAATCACTTCTGCACTGATGCTGTTGCAATGAGACTGCATACCCAGAGGAAATGAGTACCGTAATAACATCAACTGAGCCTCATCTTAATGGGCTGCATCAAAGCCAATACAAAAGCATTGTCTTAGGCATAACAGAAGTATTTGTGCCACTTGGGCATAAGCAATTAAATGAAAACAAAGCTGTTAAGTATTTTGTTTAACAGTTATGCACTGACCAACACAGACTAAACCCAAAACATATGTTTTTATAATAAGTTGTACTGACTCATGTTGCAGTCATCATCTCTAGTAATGCGGTTTGCACTTGATAATAAAGTTAATAAAAGTAGATATAATTTTGGAAGAAAGTCACAGACAGAGCAGATTTTATAGCTTAAGTTTGGGCTTAAAATAAACCCTCTGTATTTGACTTTACTACATCACTAAAGCAGCTTCAGGCTACACGTCTTCATGACAATATAGATCTTGCTTCTTTGATTTTCGACTTTGGTAGAGACTTGCTGATGCAGACAAATATTGACAAAATTGTACTTGGCTTCACAACAAGTTTGATTTTCGAGAAAGGCCAACTTTCTTTACAAATAAAAAAAAACTGAGGCTAAAAGACAAATTTGTTCATATCTGTTAGAGATGTGTAGACTCAAAGGTGATTTAAGTAATGCTGACAGGGTTGTTTTTTTTTAGATTGCTGAGCGCACCGCCATGCCAGGTCACATCCAGGGGAAAAAGTAAGTAAGCTTTTTTTTTCCTCAGTTGGGAGCCAGGAAAAGCTGTGATTTCTACTTTATCACGCACAGTACGATAGGTCCGGTTTGAGAGAGGATGTTCACCTATCAAAGAATGATAAAAAAAAATGAATTGGAAAGGATGGTCAGAATACTCTGAAGTCATTTTTTATGAAGGTAGAATAAAAATCCAATAAATACATTATTTATGACAAAACACCAAGGTCAATTATGAATTTCTGTTTGCCTGAGGAAGAAATATTACAGAGTCCATGTTGATCTTGCAAGCACACACAGCAGGACCTGCTGTCACAGATTTATTTTTCTATGCATGTTATCGTACCATAAAACCAGTCTCAAATGAGTATAAACATGCTGTAAGTATTAACATGATGAAATGTAGGGTCATAGTCTACACTGATGCCTTGCAGCAAGAATGTCCTCAGATCTTTTTGCATGGAGTTTGCATATTCTCCCTATCAATGCATTGATTATCTTCCCACAATCGATAAATATGACTGTTAGGTTATTTGGAGACTCTTAATCGGTCTCAGGTTTGATTTTTCCCCTGCGATGGACTGGCAACCTGTCCAGGCTGTACCCTGCCTTTCGCCCAAGGACTGTTGGAGATAGGAACATTAATCCTAATAGACAAGTGTTGATGATAGTTGATAGAAGGCTAGTTTATGACTAAGCAAAGAAAGTCTGATGTCCTGCACACAGTATTTTTTCACAACAGAATTGTAAAATAATTATCAGAGTGAGTTATTACAAATTAGAATCAAAAGATGCTGGAGTTATCGTAAGCATTTAGCATGCCATAACTCAGGGCAGAGAAATGGTGCATAGTGTAGCATAATAGTGCCATGTTGATATAATTCTTTTGCAATAGAAACTTTGATGCTGTGAATATCAAAGTGCCAAAAGTATTTAACTGCAAATTTATTCTGTTTAAAATTTACACCTTTGTACTTTTTAAGAAATTTGATGCTCAATCCACAGAATTTAGTGACACCCTTTTGTAGACACTAAGTCATGAAATGCTGTATTACATATTCATAAGGTAGAAAGAAAAAGATACACAAAATGAAAAAATGAGTCTCAAAAGTGAAGTTTCAAGGCAAAACATTTCAATAATTGATTAGCCACAGACTTATAGGTCCAGCTGCTCTAATCAAAATACAGGCAGCTTTGCAAACATAGCTAGCCTCAAAATCACATTTCTTAGTGTTCAAATTGCGCACTTGTCAGTGTGAAGCACAAAATGACGGAGGAATTATCTTTTGAAACATAAACTTACTTTTTTGATACCATAGTGCAATGGCATCCAAAGAGGATAGCAAGTCTCAAAAGGTTGCTTATATTACTTCATTTTATTAAGGTTTACTAAACAAGCAGCTTATCAGACAAATCCAAGTAAATTATCACTGATACTAGCTTCCTTTGCCAGTTATCTATATCAACAATGCTAACAGCCTCTGGGTGACGGTTCAGACAAATAGAGGTTAAAGAGCCCTTGTGCTGACCATCAAACTAAGCCGCATGACGTTGCCAGGTATGATGGGCAGGTTCCTACACACAGCATCTGGCTAGGGCATGGTTCTGGTTCTGCTTGTCTACCCTAACTCAGCCCTCTTGTGTTGCAGTTCACCCTGGTGATCAGGAGTATCGCATTGGACGAGACTTATGAGCTGCAGCAGCATCACTGTTACAATCATTAATTTTTGGGCTGCTTTTATTTACAGTCCATCTTTATTAATAACATGGACACACTGGCATCCACTATAACATGTTTTTATTTTTCAATTAAACATTATTGCACACTTCTAGTGACAGTGATATTTGGTGGGGAGTGTTGGCCTAGTGGTTGAAGCAGTGTGCTTGGGCTCTGAGAAGGTTGCAAGTACCCGGGTTGATCCCCACAGCTTCCACTCTGGGTTCCTGAGCAAGAACCCCACACTGCTCCCCGGGTGCCACACAATGGCAGCCCACTGTTCTTCAAAGGAATGGGTTAAATGCAGAGAGTGGATTTCCCCATTGTGGGAGAATAAAGGGATTTACATTACCATTTGTCATTAATTTATTAAACACTGGGCTGCTATGTGACATCTACCTTTTTCTTCTGCATGTGTGGGACATTTTGATGCTTTGAACTGTTCAGACGGAAGTCTGATAACAGTCCCATGTGAACATTAGTATAAAGACCTTGCAGAAATAATTGTGTTTCGGCAATAATAGGGATTGAGCATCAAGACCTGCAGCGTGACGGTAGCCAGAGACAATTTTCAGTCACACTCAAACACATTAATATAGTTTACGTTGAAACAAAATCATGAGACTGTGAAAAAGCACTATGTGTATATTGTTAAATATGGTCTAAACAAGAACCAGACCAGATTAGTGCAGGAGGAAGGCCCATAATACAACAGTGCTTTTCTGTAACCACAACAGTCAGGATTGCAGCTGCAACAAAGCAATGTTTTATTGATCTCCTTTAATATGTCTTAAAAGAGCTTTTTATATTGTTAAAATTTCAACAACTGGCTACTTTAAAAAAAGATGGTTTCTCATTTTTCTTAATGTTTCCACTGAGCCTGTTAGTCCCGCTTATGAATTCAAGCTCTACCCGCTCCTTTCCAGTCCATATGCTGTGTACATGGTGTAAATTAAACTGGCTGGGCTAGTGCTTTTCTGCATACACACTCTAAAAGGGAATTAAAAGGACTCAAGAATGTTGGAAGATGACTATGCTGTGGGAGTCTTTCTCTTCTAAAGTCCCTGGGAACCTTCTTTGAGGGAATATTTCAATTGATTTTTTGAAAATCTAGGATATTTTACATAAAACATCCTGTTATATGAAAAAAAAGCAATGAACAAACTCACCAAATGCCAAAATCAACCTTTCTATTTTTTCAGTAGGCCTATGACCATTAATATGTCTAAGAGGAGTGAATCTCATATAGGTAGGATTAATCTGTTGACATTTAAAAGTTTATATCATTCATTTATGGGCTGAAAATATGGCCCACTGTAGTATTTCTAATGAATCTAGGAGATTCAGACTTGGCAATTAAAGCTTCATGACAGGTGGTGGAAGGGCAAACATGTTTTTCATATAATCAGTTGGTGCAGGTGTAGGATCAGAAGTTACCTCAAAGTGACGCTTTCGCCTTCCAACACTGTAATATTGTCCGGCAGGGGCCCGAATTCTGCCCCAAGCACACTGGACCCTGCCAAGAAAAATGAGAGGAGTGTAATGAGTATCCAATAATGACACCAGATGCTTCGTGGCTCCTCATCAATCTTAGCTCAGGTGCTTGAAGATTCAGCACCTAAACAAGTAATCTGCAGCGGAGATGTGTCCTGCATCCTGCTCGCTTACTACAAAGGAAAAGTAATAACTTTAGAAAACAAAAAGAGAGTCATAACGTCTGCACTGACCTCCATACTTGAATAGTAATTCAGTTTTAGCCAGCATTCTGGTGGGATGCGCATTCATTGAACAGCACTGATAATGAGCCAAGGGAAGAGGATTCACGCGGAGCTGCCGGAGCGTGAAATGAAGGGACACCAACAGTAACAGAAGGGATGCTCATCCTGCCTACCAATACACACAAGAACCGGAGCACATGTGCAAAAGCACAAACATATACCGTATTACCAACTCTCACTAGAGCAAACACATTCTGGAAGCCATTAGCTGAAGTGGAAAACAAAGTTGGCATCTATGAGTGTCTTAGTCAGAAAAAAAGGAAATATCCCAATAGTGTTATAAGTTCTGTACAAAATTGCTTGGTCTGCAAACAATGGCAGGAAATGTATAAGATGGCTGTATTTTGAAAACATAAGCAGGCTGCTCCCCCTGTAGGACAGGTGGCACTTTATACCTTGACTTTGATGAAATACAGCAGGATATCATATATGTTGCCTTGTGTGCTCCCTCCATTTTTGAAAATCTTTTATTCCTTTTTCCCTCAAGATGACCTCAATATCTCAACAGGCTTTTGCTGGGACCTAGCCTTGAGGTTTAATAAATGGTGACTTTATGAAATTAAGCTGCCATGCTGAAGTGCTAAGGAGCACCTCGAGGTTTTTTAAACAGACTTGCATAGTCAGAGACACATTCAGCATGGCAGATGAGAACCTGCTAAAGATGAAAGCCAGAAGTAATGCCAAGGCATATCTAAGAAAATTTAAAATGTGGGATCTAAATTAGAGATGCGTCTTTTGAGAAATCTTTATTTCATTGCACAGGGTAATGAGAGAGGCTTTCATTTTATAATGATCATGCATCACTAATCAAAAGGTTACTAAAAAGCATAATAAAGAATACTGATACCAATACTAAAGAGCAGTTTATAATCACTAAAAAAAACAAGCTATTCATTGAGATAAGGAGAAGCAAAATTACATTACAACATCTAGTGTAAGTATTCAAACCCCTTTGACCTATTTTCAATTCATCAGGTTAAAACCTCAAACACAGAGGAATTCTATTATTATTATACATAAAAGACCAAAACAACTGCACCATGGCCGCACAATAGCAGCACAATGGCAGCACAATGGGTTAAATGTTGAGAGTTCCTTTGGTGGCTCTGTACTTGTGACAGTTAAAGAAAAAATAAAAATGCTGGAAAAAACAAGGCTATGTGAAACAGAGGTATAGTAAAATATGGTGTGAAAAAAACAAACAAATATTAATCTTATTTTGAAAAATAAAGAAAAACACCTTTCTCAAACAAGCATCACAAAGTGCTGCACAATATGAGGCATAAAATACAAAGCAGCACCATATAAAATATATATATAGGGAAAAAAATACAATCATAGCATGAGGCATAAAATACAAAACAAACAAACAAAAAAAGAAATCCAAAGAATCTGCCTGCTTTGGTTATATGAATGCCAACCCACAGGTTAGGCTTTTGTTTCTTCACACATAGTATCATACCAGGAACAAACCCTCTTAAAATCACATTTAACTTATAGCACATGTAATGTTCAACACAGATAACCTTAATCACAAAGTATAGTCAAATGTTAACTTGAACAGCATCCGCACAGTAAACATTTTCCTATAGAAGGACAAGGAAGTTGTTTAGGAATCATGGAGAGTAAAGCTAATCCCTTGAAGCAAACCCTTTGGAGGCTAAAGACGACTTGAGACTACTTAAACGCATTCACTTCAAAATCCAACAAAGAAATGATTCAAAGTATTTATATAATAAGGCTGACTACAAATCCAGACTAGACTTTTCTGATATTTTCTCTGATATCTATTACTTGTTCCATGCCACGATTAAGCACTACTTTATATTTGCCTAAAACCTGAAATCACATAATTCACTTACATGTTTAGCTGTAATGTGACAAAACGGGAAAAGCCTGTAAATACTTTATCAAGATAGTGCAGGACTTAAAGGGATAAATATTGTTGGCCTATAAACATAACAGAAACCATCTATATTTTATATAGCTAAAGTGAGAATGCTTACACCACAGAGCGAGTGAGAGTATATTTTCCAAAGAGTCATGCTGTCAGAAGACAAAAACAAAGGCTGGGTATGGGTGCGTGGGAAAATGGTGGTGGAACGGGGAAACAAAAGCTTTAGGAGATGTTTCATGGGGAGATTTTGTGGCTCTTTTGTGTTTTTCCTAAATGTAAATTAAGCTTGGCTTCCCTGTATGGATGAAGACTCATACAGAAGGCTACGTACTTGAATGTTGAGATGTAAATTCATGTGTGACTTATGCTTGTTTCATTCAGTCCCTTCCTTATGATAGAGGCTGGATGTATTTGTGTATGTTTTTGTATATAGACATACCAACAGGGGACATAAAAAGAGGACAAACTAATGACGCTTCAGAAGAAAATTGGCCCTGAAAATCTCCCACTAAAAGCTGTAATCGCATTAATGGCTGCTGCTGCTGCTGTCGCTATCTAGGCCGACCAAAGATCTGAGAACTTGCTACAGCCATGAAAGCCTATAAGGAGGGGCATGGTACATTAGTGGTCTGACGTTCCAAAATGCTCATAAGTTTTAGCTTTCTTTTGTTTTAATGCTTTGAAATAATGCTGCATTGCTTTAACAGAACCCGAGCGTCCTCTCTTCTAGTCGTCAGCTGTCTTTCAGCTGTTCCCTTTAAAGTGCTTCTTACTCCACACACAAAGCGGTTTTTTTTTTTTGGGTTAATTTAATTCAGTTCCAGAGCTTGGAGACATGTGTGACATGCTGTCATAGAAACATCCCACAGATGCAATTATAGCCACACACATAAAGAGAGGATGCTCCCTTTAACAAAATATAACACTAAGGCAAAAGCATGCCACACACACCCACAGCCACACACCCTCAAACATAAAACACACACAAACTTTCTCTTGCTTTGGACTGAATGATATATGCAAACACTGAAGGCTCTCAACAACACAGTGAAGGTTACAAACCAGTGTGTGTGTGAGTCGGGGTGTGTATTCCCATTTCCCTTCTCAATTCCCATCTTTGCAGCTCAATTGGCACCTCAAACTCCAAAACTTGCACCATCCAGTCTCCAAGCTCAGATACTGTGTAACATGACAACCAGGTCAACAAATGTGCCACGTTTTCCCTCCCTCATACTGGGTCAACAGACAAATTGAAGACAAGTACACATGCAAGACATGGAGGAAGCTGCAAAACATGAAGGAATTCGCTATAATATCTAAATAGGAAAAAAATCCCCTTTATGTTTCTTACTGAAAATAAGACACATACACACATACAGTACGCTATTATTGGAAAACTCCCACTCAGTGATTCATGCACTCACCTGCTGCACTATGTAACTCTTTATGACCTCTGCCACTCTCTCTGAATACAGCAGTGAAACAAGACCTGCATTTTAGCAATATGAAACCACCTCTGTTCTCCCACAAAGGTGCCCTATGAAAATTGCTGGGATCTCAGTACTTTTTATACCTGTGATTTCCTTGGCAAGTATCACACAGCTCCGTTGTTTACATGACCTCATCATGAGCAATATAGTCATACATTTTTATCAAAACATCCTTAATAATATCTGGCTACATGTTGTTTAAAATAGATGGCTTTATCATAAATTTTTTGTAGCTATTGAAAAGCTCATAGCATAACTTTGGTGTGATGTTTGATCCCTATTACTCAGCTGGATGTGTAGGATTAATTTATCTGTCCATTTATATGTTTGGGTCCAATCCTGAAGCTGACCTTTTATTGTGGTCCACAGATTTTCAAAAGGTGTGAGCCAACAGATTTGACAAAGACCCCTGGATAGGTGAAATATCTTCAAAATACTGTTTCAAAGTCCAGTTGCCTTCCAATTTAAGCCTGTTTTGTGGTTGCCATGATCCCGGTGACTGAGAATTTACACAGGCAATTTCTAAAGATTTCTTGTCAAGGCCTTTACAAAAGCTCAATATGTAGGCTTTGGATTTTTGGCCTGTTGAAACACAAAAATTTCAACTGTAATCCCAATAATTAAAGGTCAAAATGAAGAATTTGGAATGAGTTATCTTGCACTGGTTTGTCTACTATGTGTAATGATTTTATACAAGAGAAAGAAAATATCTTTCCCCATTACAGTACAAGATACTATAAATTGCATTACATTGAGTAAGATTCGGAATCTGATATTTTTTTCAGGTAAAATGACCTTTTAGAAGAAACTAGAATGTCACATTTAGCTTATTGAATGTTTTTTTAAATAGCGTTACAGTATAATAGAGGGATAAAAATCTTGTTAAACCATGAACAAAATAGATATGCCACATTGATCCACAGCCTTGAAGTTTTAGTTTGCATTTTTAACTTTGCACGTTTTTCCAATAGAAGATTTAAAAAAAAAACTACATGTACAGCATCACAATCACCTTAAGATATATTTTTAAAGCTAAATATATAATTTCAGGCCGGATTGTTAGGAAAGGTATAGCTTGAGAAATTAAACAGACATTCAAATGAAAACTGAAGATGTACATCAGAGATTTGATGCTGATGCTTTACTTTACTGTTAAACTAAATAAACCCAAAACCAGAGTGGCTGTGTAAAGTGTTTGCTCAGTGGCTCGTTGTTGGTCAGAGAAGCACTTAACAAATAACTCAGGGCACTTAGGCCTCTCATCAGTATCAGTTCTGTTATTTTCAAAAAACATTTCCATTAAACAGAAAACAACCATATAAATACTTTTACTACTTAAAATAATAATAAT